CAATTAAGGCACAAGCTTTATTTAAATTAAGCTATACTGAAAACTTCTGGAGGAAAATCTGCACCGTTCTGGTGAACGGATGGGCAAGCTTTTCGGAAAATGTTTGGTCTGAAATTTGCATCCTTTTTCTCAATAGAGGAACAAACTTTAATTATAATTTCTGGTATAAAATTTGCTCCATTCTTATGATTGGAGGAAAGCTGCTTTACTGAAAATTTATGCTGAAAAATCCGAAAATAGGGGCAAGTTTTATTTGGTGGAAAACCTGCAACATTCTGATAACAGGAGAAGCAACCTATATTGAAAATGTCTGGTGGAAAATGGAAAAAGGAAATCTGCACCAATCAGAAGATTGGAGAACCATTTTTTTTTTGAACATTAACGGTGAATTATTTGCATCGTTCTGGTCAATTGAAATTTCCTGGTGTAAAATTTTCTGGTGTTAAATTATCTGGGGGCAAGTTTGTATTAAAAATTTATGGTGTAAGATTCAATCTGCTGCAAGGAGGGGCTAGCTGAATTGAAAATTCCTGATGTAAAAATTGCACAGTTCTGTTGAATGGAGGGGCAAGCTTTATTGAACATTTCTGGTAGAAAAACTATAATGTTTTGGTGAATGGACGGACAACTTAAACTTGACTTCCGAGAAGAACCTCAAGGGTATTGAATTCTGAAACAAAGTTCCAAAAGAAAAGATTTCTGGGGATGTTTCCATGAAAATTCTGCCAATAATTTCAAGTGAATCCTGCAGATAGCTGCAAGATAATTTCAAAAATAATATCGGGAGAATCAAATTTTGAATGAAATTCCAAAGGGATATCGGGGAAAAGTTCAAGGAAATTCCGGAGATCATTTCAAGTTCATTTTGGGAAGAATTTTTGGAGAATACAGAGGAAATTCTTTTGAAACATTAGGGGAATTTCATTTCCAAGGTGTTCTGAGAAAAAAAAGTTCTAGAATATTCCGAGCAAAACCTCAAGGATATTGAATTCTTAAGACAGTTCCAAAATATTTCTGGAGAGATTTCAAATAAAATTATGCGGATAATTTCTAGTGCATCCTGCAGATAATTCCAAGATAATTTCGAAAAGAATACCGAGAAAATCAAATTTTGAGTGAACTGATTGAGTGATTTTAAGCAAAATTTCAAACGAATTCCGAGGATAATTTCTAGCTCATTCCAGAAATAATTTCTGAAACTCTAAAAGAATTTCAGTTCCAAGGTGTTCTGAAAAAAAAATATGAAGAATTGTAAATATATTTCCAGTGGTAGAAGAATTTCAATAGAGCTCTTCGGAGAGTTCTAAAAAATCCGAGAAGAACCTCAAGGATATTGAATTCTGAGGACTGTTCCTAAAGATTTCTGGGGAGTATTCCAAGAAATGCCTGCGAATAATTTCTAGTGAATCCTGTAGTTAGTTCCAAGATAATTCCGAAAAGAATACCGAGAAAATTAAATTTTGAGTGAAATTCCATAAGGATTTTGAGGAAAATTTCAAAGGAGTACCAATAATTTCTACCTCATTCCTGGAATTATTTCTAGATAGTACTAAGAAAATTCTTCTGAAACTCTGAAAGAATTTAAGTTTTAAGGTGTTCTGAGTAAAAGTCAAGAAGTATTCTCAAAATAATTCCAGAGGACTTCTGAGAAGAATTTTCAAAGAGCTCATAGAGTCCTAAAATTTCTAACCTAAGGAATTCTGAGGATGGACTTTTTCGCAAATGTACAAAGTTTAAAGACAGCTTTTGGATTCCCTAATTGAAAATTAGGTTTAAGTTTTCTATTGAACCTTGGTCGATTGTTGTCTTACTAAGAATTTGTCTAAGAATCTTCTTTGAAAATTTCAAGTCATTTGTTACCGTGGTTGACATGCTCAATCCTTCGCACAAGTCGTCATTCCGTACTCCTTTATCAAAATTGTTTTGTGCGCCTTTGGTCCAATCGTTATATTTTTTTAAAACTATTAATAATCCTATTAGTCTTGGCAAAATTTGAAAATTTGAAAAAAAAAATTTCGCTGAAAATGACCAAGTTCAACGTACTCGAAAAGATAACAGTAAAGTGACTGCAACAGCATATAAGGGCTTTCAAAAATACTGACTTGAAATAGTCAAAAATTGTAACGATGTCTTCAAAATATACAAATACGTACTACAAAAAAAATTCAGAAAGGTAACTGAATAAAAGATGAGACCAGTACCTTGAAGAATATATTTTCTTTGATTTGTATTTTTAACCTGTAAAGAAGAGCATGACGCAAAACATTATTACAACGATTCATACAGGGTTCAGAAATTTGGAAGAAATCGACCGAGTTGCTGGGCAAACACAATCGCAGTGGCTAACTACGATTCTGTGCTGGAAAAACACTTGGCGGAAGGTGCGAAAAATTGCCAGTATATAAGTAACCGTATTCAATATGACATGATTACGTCGTTGCACAATGTAATGTTATGAAGATGAACCACCACCGGAGCAAAAAATAAATAAAATTAGCTAAATTGAACAGTAGGGAAAAAGTGGGGGTGGGACGGCACCATCTACCACGTACTTTGGAGTACTCCCCATCCCCAGATTAAATGCACCATAGAAAAAAAATGCCCCTCCTAAACAAGATTCCTGTGCACGCTAGTGCAATGAGATCAACAATATTTGACTGAGTTTGACATGTAGCTATCAAAGACTTTCCTTAAACAAACTAATTTTGAAAATTTAAAATCAAACAACCTTCAATATTAACAGACAACAAGTCCAATCCATCATTCCTGATGGCAATTTGCGATTGATTCCATCATCCAAATTATGCATTCATTTTCCCACATTTAATTCCCCATCCCATTGAAAACTTTCCCGATTCCATCACAAATTAAACTTCCTTTTCAAGACTTCTGTCATCCAGTCGCCTCTCGGTCGGATTCAAATCCCATCCCCCCCCCTTCGTCCCTCTTTCTCCTCTTACTGACACACAAAACCAGATTTCACACGAAACTCGGACATCATCGTGGTGTCGACGGCGTAAAATTGTATCATCGAATCCATTTAGGAAATTGTTTACTTTTAATTCAATTCCTTTTCTCCAATTTCGGCCTCCCGTCTGCTGACTCTCCGCTGACTCCTTGCCGTCCCAAAGTAAAAGAACACCGAAGCAGAAGGACTTTCATTTTCGATTCTTATGCTAATGTCGATTCCTGCTGCTTCCCTTCCTTTCCTGGGAGCCTCTGATAATATCCCATTTGACAAGCTGTTTCTATTTCGATTATAAAATTTGTTACAACTCCCCTCGGTGGGTGGAGGCTGCTGGGGGTGGACGCCGACCGAATTGAACTAATTTTCCGGCAGGGCACTAGAAACAGCAAAAGAATATGCTAATGAAATACATTCGTAACTACAAGTGGGCGAGCTGTGGCGGGGATGGGGTGGAGTACAAATGTATTCCGGACTTAATTTTTGACAAAACGCAATTTTCCAGCGGCCACTTTGAGAGATTTGTGACAAGTCGCCGACGACGCACAGGTGCTCGATGTTTGTTCGTTGAATTTCAAATCCAAGGTGAATCGAGGGGAAAAGTTTAATTTGCTTTCGTTCTTCTGGAATTTACAATTGAATTACCGATCTTGTTCTCACCTTGACGGCGACGGGGTAGTCGGGAGAAGGTTCACTGCATAAGTTCATTCAATATGCTAATTTAAATAGTATTTTGTTAAGCTTTATTGGATTATGATATTCAATTAGGGAATAACACAAAGCCCCAGATGAGTCTCGGGATAGTGAAGTGGTTGGAGCATCGTAATTTGTGATATCAATTTGAGTTAATTTATGGAATTATTCATCATTTGCATTTGCAAACAAGTTGTTTAGAATTGCCTTCGGGAATTGAATTACCCGTGACGGTGACATATAGGAGGGCGGTAATCGCCTCTACCCTTCAATTTTCATCACCAACTAACAAAGACACATTTTCAGTTGGAGTTTTTTTTCTTTTTCTACTAGCTAATTTACAGCTGCCTCGCAACGTAATTAATCACGATTTCCGGGGAAATCCATCAATACAGTAATGGCAATGCGGAGTGAAAAAAAAACCGCTTCTACCGAACGAAAACCATCGCATTCGATTCCGATCGGCGAAAAGAAGCGAATATTTCCCTTCTATCTATCAATTAGAAGCCACTGGCGAAACATGAAAATTCACTCACCACCATTCCAGCTGACGACGACGACGACGACGACATTCATTCCCAGTGCCCGGAGCAGTGATGATGGCGCAGTGAATTTCGGCTTTCTTCCAGCTTTCAGCTTCGTGCGTCGACAAGGAAAACACATTTTTCACTTTCAATTTGTGTGCGACCACCATTCCCTCTGCCCATATTTTTTTTTGGTTGTGTTCAATGATCGGTGGTACTTTGGGGGACTTCTTTCTCTGCTTTTGATATTGATTTGTGAGACTGGGCCTGACCCGAAAGTGTATATATTTCACTTTCGATGAACGACCACCGATTACCACCAGAGGACGTGGTTACTTCTCGATGTGGACTGAGGCGTGTGGAGGACCGAGCTTGAGGATGTTTCCCGATCCTAAAGGTGTCCAAACACGCTCATGGACCTCGCCTCGCAACGGCAAAAGTCAATTCGAACGCAAAAGTTTCGCCATCATCAAACGAGTCCAAGATTCGCTCCATTAGAGCACATTTCACCGAGAACGCCGAGCACGGCTCCATCGGCTAGGTATGTTTTGATTAAGTGATCTTTGCTTTCGTCATCGTGTTATTGATGGACAGGAATAGAGAACCACTTAGGCCCGCCATCATTCTATTACCCTGTTACTCAGTATTAAGGACGTCATGATCCGCTTTCCCAACGCACAGAGTAACGCACATTGACATCCATTGCCGAATGGAAAACTATCACTGCCCCCTAAATCACTCCCACTTGTTTAGCCCTCGAAAAAGTGGCTCAATTAGCTCATCAATCTCCCAACCCATGCCAACAGTTGCTCACTTACCTGCACGATATCGCCGAACGCTCCCCCGGGGGCCGTGAAGTTCAGATGACACAGGAAGGGATATGCATTGCTGCCGGCGTGCTGGTGCTGGTTCTGCTGGAACTGCTGCAACTGGTGTGGCTGAAGCTGAAGTTCGTACGTTCGACCGACTTCACCGTACAACGTTCGGTTGCATGCTGAAAGGACATAAGAAAACACAAACGCTCCGGGTTAGTTGAAGACAATGGGGGTTTTGTAAGTCGGTTGATGGTGTTGCATGCAACACGAGGTGGAAGTCAATATGTGAGGAAAGTTTCCCAGCGAACGATGGAGGAAAAACGTTGTCTTCTTGCAAGATATGGCAAAAAGTGGGTGCTCTCGTTGCGAGCGATATGCGATCGACGTGTTAATAATTGAGCAGTTTGGCTGAAAGTGGCAACAGGAAAGGCGACTGGTTGGAGCGGTAATTAACTGCAGCGGATAGTTGATTATTGACAACTGACTACGGATGGGTTCAGAAGGAGAAGGTTTTTTTTTGTGTGGAAATGGAATAACTAGCGTGCAGCTTATTAGAGAAGGAAGTTGCCATAGGGTAGATGTGCTATTGATATTTTGGTGTGTTCAAATGGTGGCGTATGGGAATATATAGATATAGATATTATTGCGCCATTAGAGTGACCATGTCCCTGTTAGGGTGATTCGAAAAATAATTAGAACGGCTTGTTGTATAAGTGTATTATAAGTGATGCAGAAAACATCTCACGTGATATATGAGGCTTATAGATGTTTTCTTCATACTTCCTAGATTTCAACATTTTCCAAAATAGTTTTCTTTTGATTTTATCTTTAAATTTTCTTTAAACGTGCATCTTACTGTTTTAATACCATTATAAAACTTGTCGTATACAAAATCAATCTTAGTTGAATTTATAAAGTTCTTGAAGAGATTTTATACTTTCCAGATTGACATAAACATTGACAGTGTCATTAAGCCGGACTGGACTGTCTCTTCAAGCAGTAATTGACAGTTTCTTATGAGGTTTTCGGAGGATTGTTATAAATAAAGTTGAAAACACTTTGTTATGACATCTCATAAATTTACAACAGAAAAAGTGCAGGTTGTCTTATAAGGAGTTGAAAATACTTCTATAAAACTCTCTGGCAATTAAATGTACGCATTGCTGCTAACAAAACGTCTTTATAACGGATCGAAAGCATGTTGAAAGAGAATATAATTTTCATGCCATTGGCAAGAACATGATAGATACTTATAACAAACATTTCATCAAGTGGTGTTGGTCTAGTTAGGTAGTAATAAGTCTACCACGCCAAGGACCAGTGATCGAATCCCATGTACAAGTTTTTTTTTTTGTTTTTTTGCCGCTGGTTTTAATGATGTTCCCAAAACATGTTATAAGACCAATATTTAGTTTTATAAGCTCCGCGTCTTGCGTTTTTTAGATTGTATAAGTGTACTAAATGATGTATATTAAAGTATTATTGATTCTTTACGTAAGTCATTAAAAAGTATTTTCAACTTCTTTATGACAAGCCGTGTTGCCGTGAAGAATATCTGAAAATGAAACGTAAGTGTTCAATGTGTGGTGTTTGGATGTTGAGTTCATGTGCCAGAAAAATCACCAATAAATTGTACGATTATGCAGTGGAAAAAAAAGATTAACATAGATGAGAGTAGCTCCTTCATTTGTCAACGTTGCTACCAAAAACTATATGAACCCATGATGCCGTGACCGGCTATGATGCCGTGACCGAAGAAGCCGTTGCAGGACCATGTGATTCTTCTTTAAATTTCAATTCTTTTCTTCAAATTACTAACTTAAACTCTTATTTTCTTGCAATCATTTTTCAGAGTCCATCGAAGCAACCAATATTGAAACGATTGCCGTTGTGGGACCGTCCAGAATGGTTCCTTTTCCCTGTCAAGGTAAATAATAAAAAATAAATCATTTGTATTTTGTTTTTCTAATAATCAATCATTTTTTATATTTATTTTCAGTGTCAGTGGAAACAACCAGTTTTGAATCGATCGTTACTACCTACAACGCACCTTTGTCGGGCGAAAATGAATTCCTTATACAACTTAAGGATAAATATAAAGAAACAAGAGACAGCAATGAGTGATACAGGATTTAAACCACACTTCCCCAAAGTTGGTCTACATATAGAATTATGAAGGAGTTCAAAGTTTCCCAACATATGGCCAACCAATAATGTCGGTGCCTGTAAAGAGGTTAAGCAGAGCTTCATTAGGAGAACAAACGATAATCCTTGTTCGTGATTTTTACAATAGTGACGATATAAGTCGTGTTTGTCCGGGGAAAAGAGATTATTTAATATCTAAAAATGATGAAGGCATAATCTACGTACAGAGAAGATTAGTTTTATGTAACTTGCAGGAGGTGTACTCCATCATTAAAAATACATATCCTGATATTAAAATAGGATTTTCCATGTTCACCAGTAATCGTCCGAAACACTGCATTTTGGCAGAGACAAGTGGCACGCATACCGTATGCGTTTGTATATATCATCAGAACGTTAAACTTGTTTTCAAAACACTACAAAGCAGACAATCACTCCCAGATGGTGTTGATTCCTATCACGACTTGTTTACAAAAATAATTTGTCGAAATCCAAGTAAACAATTCTGGCTGCAGTGTTGCGAAAAATGTTCAGGAACGCAAATTTTAGTCACACAACTAATGACTATTCGTAGTAACGGACATGATGAATCATTACAATTCAAACAATGGCGTCAAGTAGAGAGATGCATTATGGACTTAGTTGAAATGTACACACAGGAATTTATTGATACTTTTTTAGAAAAATTATTCAATTCATTGCCGCATAACTTTATTGCTGAGCAACAGGCAAATTACTTGAAACACGTCAAAAGCAATTTGAAAACTACAGAATGCATCGTAATCTGTGATTTTTCGGAGAATTATTCTTTCGTTGTGCAGGAAGCAGTTCAAGGCTTTCATTGGGCGAACGCCCAATTTACTATTCACCCTTGTGCTATTAATTTTAAAGACGAAGAATCGAACGATTTGAAATTTACTAGTTTTATTGCAATTGCTGATTTCACTAAACATAATCATGTCGCAGTTCGTTTATTTCTTACGCATTGTCTAGCGTTCATAAAATGTAAATTGCCAGGCTTACAACAGATTTACATTTTCTCAGATGGGATCAGGAAGCCAATATAAAAATAAGATGACCGCTTTTAATTTATACAACATGCAAAAAGATTTTGGCATTGCTGCCAAGTGGAATTTTTTCAAAACTTGTCATGGAAAAGGCCCTTGTGATGCTTTGGGAGGACTATTGAAACGAAACGCTGCGAAATCGAGTTTGCAAGGCCACCACATAACAACGGCCCAAGAACTTTATTCATGGGCTATTTCTAAGGCAGATTCAAAAATTCACTATCAGTTTTTTCGGAATCCGATTACAATAAAATGGAAAGAAAATTGAAAAACCGTTATATACGTGTGAACCAAATTTCGGGGACACAGTCATTCCATAGTTTTAAGTCTCAACACGAAAAGTATATTATTGTCAAACGGTATTCATTTTCAACGGAAGAAAAATGCGTGAAATTGTAATTAAAGAAAATAAATGCTTCATGTTTTACTTATTTTTCTTCGACCTCGTCCTTAGGGGCTGTTAATTAACTACGTAGACAGTTTTTGGGATTCTTAACCCCCCTCCCCCTGCGTAGACAATTGTCCATACAAAACTTTTAAAATTTGTATGAGCCGTGGATACTTCAGGCATAACATTTGATAACGGCACAAAAGCATTTGTAAACAAACTTTCTAAGGCCCTTTACACGCGAACCAAAGTACGCTCACGCAAACCAACAACATCATCGGATAGGGGCAACTATCACCTATCCGAAAGTGGTATTGGTTTGCGTGGACGTACTTTGGTTCGTGTGTAAAGGGCCGTAGAAAGTTTGTTTACAAATGCTTTTGTGCCGTTATCAAATGTTATGCCTGAATTGTCCCCCAGCCCCCCAATTTTTGAAAAAAGGCATTTTTGAAACAAATAGATTTTTCGAACCGCCCTAACACGGAAATGGTCACCCTAATGGTGGAATAAAAAAATAAGAATCTAACATTTTTTTATAAGGAAGATCTCTTTCAATTTTCATGAAATTCTGAGACTCACTATAACTGCTGTATATAATGGAATTAACTTTACAGAGCCGAGGATTCTTGGTCACTATACAATACGTCTTAAAACTAAAGTCAAAAGGTACAACACAATAAACACTTTATCTTCCGCTATCCAAAAAGCCTCCTCCATCAGAACGGGAGCCGCTTCCAGTGGTTTCACTGTATGGCAGTTACGCCAACAGAGGTCAGCGCGCTTCCATTGCAGCAATGGACGCACAACGTGGTCAGCACCACACACTCATCACTAAACGGTTGCTTTCCAAAGTCGACGACGCATCGACCGAAAGAACTGCTGATGAAGAACAATGAGGAGAAAACAGACGATCGCGTGGCACACATCGAGAGTGGCCTGCTTTTGTCGACAGTCGAGTGAACACTGGTATTAGCATTAGCATAAGCATCGAACAAGTTACACAATATCGTAGGTGGTACGAGTTAAAAACTATTAAGAGCAAGACTGATATCTATTACTGGACAGATAGTAAGTAGGAAATAATTACTATCTCCCAAATAAAGACATATCCCGCTCCAACAGTTAAGGATTGTCCTGGCCACGTCCTTACAACTGGTAGGGATAGGAAAGGTATGTTAGTCCAACATTTACTTAAGAGAGATGCAGAATTCTCGCTGACGTGTCTTCAGTCACAATCGGCAGTAATCTGAAAGATACAAATTATACTGCAACAAGTTTGCTAAGATTTGCATACTTCTACAATAGTGTATCTTTCAAACCAACAAAACCAAGTAGATAAATAGACTTGATGGGTTGAGACATCGATCGCTGTCCTAAAATAAGGGTGTTAACTAAACTGCAATGTTCTGAAAAAATTAAAATAAATAGTCAACCGCTTTCAAATTCAATGCACCGTATCGCTCCGCTTCAAAAACCATAACTGAGCCTGAAGCAAACTCGCTCAGCCACAACTCTGTGTAAGACCTCTTTTCGATAGAATGTAAGCATCAAAAGCTATTAATGATCCAAACAACTAACG